TGCCTTTTCCTCAAAATCGTATCAACAGTCTCATTCAGTATGCCTGGCTTCTTTTCTTTAGCATAAATGCTTTGAGATTTATCCATGTTATTCCATCTATCAATAGTTTACTCATTTTTAAAAAAAAATTATTTATTTGACAGAGAAGGAGAGACAGCGAGAGGGGGAACACAAGCAGGGGGGGGGGGAGAGGGAGAAGGAGGCTCCCGGCTGAGCAGGGAGCCCGATGAGGGGCTCGATCCCAGGACTCTGGGATCATGACCTGAGCCAAAGGCAGACGCTTAATGACTGAGCCACCCAGGCACCCCAGTTTACTCATTTTTAAGTGGTATTTCATGGTATGGCCATAACGTATCTGCTTATCTATTTCACCAACTGATGGAAATGCAGGCTGTTATAAATAACATTATTATGAGCATTTCAGTACAAGTTGTTGTGCGAACGTGTCTTAATTTCTTTTGGGTAAATACCTAGGAGTACAAGGGCTAAGTCATATGGTACGTGTATATTTAACTTCATAAGAAACTGCCAAACTGTTTTTTCCAAACAGCTGAATTCTTTTCCATCTGGCACTTTGACCAGCAATGTAGGAGAATTCTGTGTGTGTGTGTGTATGTGTGTGTGTGTGTGTGTGTGTGTTTTAAGCAAGAAGTTTATGATGTCTTTTTCATATAGAACTTTAAAATTAGAACAATTTCCAATATAGAAATCTTTTTCTTTATGGCTGGTACTTCTGGGGGTTTATGGAATCCTTCTTCACTTCATTCTTTATGTTGTGATTTTCCTATTTGAAATTTCTCCTGAGAGGATTATTAGGAATTTTTTTCCAGAAAGATCTATTCTGACATTTCCCCAACGTGGCTCATAGACAAGGTACACTTAACTTACTGTGTCTGATAATACAGCATTTGTTGTCATTACAGAATAATGTGATATGAAATTGAGAGTAAGAACTCAAAGTCTTCAGTTAAGAAAATTACATTTCATGTAACTGAAATTCTCTGAAGAATTTTTTGTTCTTCAATTGAGTTCAGAAAGGAGTTGAACAATGCTTTAAAGGCAAAAATCAGTAAACTTTTTTTCTTTAATGGACTAAGTAGTAAATATTTTAGGCTGTGCAGACCATAGATCTCTGTCCCAGCTACTCAGCTCTGTTGTTTTCATGCAAGAGCAGTTGCTGACAGTATATCCATGAATGAGTGTGGCTATGTTCCAATAAAACTTTATTTATAGACACAGAAATTTGAACTTCATGTAATTCTTAAGTGGCACCAAATAATATTACTTTTTGACCTTTCCTGAACATTAAAAAATATATAAACTAAGTTTTGCCTATGGGCCACAGAAGAACAGACAGGGAGCCAGATTTGATCCATAAGCCATGTGTGCTAACCCTTGATTTAGAATACAATCCTCCTGCCACCAGTGTAAGGAAACTGGGTAATATCATCCTCCCCTTTTGCCTAGCAGAACGTTAGAGACCCAAAGACTTTAGAGTTCACCCAGTTTAGTTTCCCTCCCTTCCCTTTTATAGTTGAGGAGGTTCTGGTGCAGAGAGAAAATCACTGACCTCAGGGCATGTAGCCAGTGAGTGACAAGGCCAGGCTGAAGCTCAGGTGTGTCCACTGAAGCCCTACCTACCTTCCTCAGCTCAGTTCCAAAAGCTACAACCTAAAACTAGATCCACAGCCACAAAATCCTTCTGCCACTTCTCAACAGCAGTTTTTTTTTTTTTAAATCCCAAAGGAATTTATTCTAATAAACACCTTCAAATTAAGGACTTACCAAACTCCAGTCCTGGTATTTAATTTGCACCATTTAAACCTATACAGTGCAAGTAACAGTGACAACTGAATTAGAAATTTTGATTAGGGAGATGCCATGATGTTATCTGTGGGAAAATTATACAGAGAATTAAAAGTGGTTAAATTCTAAAGTACCACTAAGACACCCAGATTCTGAAGGGCCTATGGAAGTTGTCCAAAGCAAATTTTATTCCAGAATTTCAAAAGGGAATGACAGTTCAGCTCTAAGTCACAGAGGACTAGGACTCTGCAGATTAGACTGAAGCTAATGAGGGACTGGCCAGGCTGTGGGGGGGGATCCAGGCCAGAGATTAGGGCTGTCATTTCAGTGAACATCTAGAACCCAAACTCTAAGACAGCAGAGTCCTTGTCTCTGGTTCATAGCGGTGTCCCCTCCAGACCAGAGCCTGGGACATACTGGGGATCAGTAAATGATGGTTGAAGGAACAAAACCGGTCCTCAAGGAAGGATTCCTGGGAACTGACCCCTGACTTTTAAGGGTATGTAATCTAGCAGCTTTGGGATGCTTCTTTGTAAAAAACCTTAAAGGATTCCTCTCCACCAGAAGCCCCATGGTCACCTTCATCCCCTGGAGGACTGTCTTCTCATCTGCTCTTTGCCTGTCACTGAGGTCTGGAGCTGTCCATTCGGGATGTAATGAAGGCATTGAAAGTACTGCCCTCTAAACTTTAAACAATTGGAAATTCAACAGCGGCAACCAGTGTTTATGAGTGAGTGGGAAGTGTTCAAAGGGCAGACATTTATAAAAAGTCCTAGAAATAAGAAACTCCCAGAATAATTTATTACCTATGCACTTCAATTTTCTTTGGAAGTTCTAATTCTCAGCAAACATTAATCAAGTCATCCCACTATCTTTCAGGTTGTTTCCCCCATTTCACAGAGAGCGATTCGGCCAAAATTAAATGACTTGTTACCAAGGTCACATGGAGCATATAAATCTAAGTAATTCCTGATTTTGGCTCTCTCTCCTGCCATTTGTTAGACTAGAATGGAGGGAAGTTGGATGGGGATTTCCACTGGCTTCCGAGGTGACCGTGGATTTGCTGCTCTCTGCTACCCCCTGTTGATAGAATAAGGGAAGAACGGATCTCAAGACGAGTATTTCTCAGGTCCTGGACCAGCGGTATCCACATCGCCTGCAAACTGGTGAAAAATCCGGACTATAGGTCCCCATCCCGGAACCCTGGATTAGAAGCTGTAGGGGTGGGGTTCAGCCGACCTGTAACAACCTACAAGTGATTCTGCTGAAACTTGATATTATATTTTTGCTTTAGGAACTAACGTCCTGGCCTCCCCATCATCACAAAAATGACTAAGCCCCTTCACCTTGCTCCTGTCCTTGGGCCTCACACAGAGAATATACCACTATTGCCATATACAAAGTGGGGTCAAGTCCATTCCTTCTTTCAGGTGGACTGGTAGCAGCCCGGTGAAGTATGCCAGGGAAGGATTGCATACCCACTTTACGGATGAGAAGACTAGGGCTCAGGAAAGGCCAGGAAACTTGCTTGGAGGCTACTCAGCTTCAAATGGGAGGGCAGGGGGCACCTGGGTGGCTCAGTCGTTGGGTGGCTGCCTTCAGCTCAGGTCATGATCCCTGGCTCCCTGCTAGGTGGGAAGCCTGTTTCTCCCTCTCCCACTCCCCCTGCTGGTGTTCCCTCTCTTGCTGTGTCTCTGTCAAATAAATAAAACCTTTTAAAAAAATGACAGGGCAGGAGTCAAATCCACATCTTCTTTCTTTATATCCATGTCCTGGACCTTTTCACTTAGTCCACAACAGGGTTTGACATTTGGGGTCACGTAACATGGGGTGCTTTGTTGTGGGGTGCTGTTCTGTAGACTGTAGGCCATTTAGCAGCACCCTGGCCTCTGCCCGCTAGACCAGCAGCACTCACACCCTAATGATGGCAATCAAAAAATGTCTCCTAATATTGCCAATGCACCCAAGGGGCAAGTGACCTGCGCTGAGAACCACTGACCTACAGCCAGCACATAATTAGAGAGAAATTTCAACTATTTGTGTTCTGCAAATTTTGCACTCTTTGGAGAGGATTTAAAAAAAAAAAAAAAAAAAAAGCTTATTTTTGGCCTCCAGGACATCTGCGAAGTAAAGGAACTAGGTTAAACGTTGGTGTCCACTCACTGCTTAAGAAAATCTTGACTACTCCGTAAGAAAATTCACAATTCCCTCATATCATCTAGCATCCAGTGTGTATTCAAATTCCCCTCAGCTGTCACAAAAATACCTTTCACAGCAGTTTTTGTTTTTTTAATGCTAACAGGCAAGCTTGCTTATTTATGTTTTAAAGATTTTATTTATTTATGATAGAGAGATAGTAAGAGAGGGAAGCATGGAGGGGTGGGAGAGGGACAAGCAGGCTCCCAGCCCATCAGGGAACCCGATGCGGGGTATAACTAGAGCCGAAGGCAAATGCTTAACCAACTGAGCCACCCAGGCACCCTCTTTGGCCTTTTTTAGTTTCGAACACTAGTCAACAAACTGTGGCCCATGGGCCCAATCTGGCCTACTACCTTTCGTTGTAAATATGCTTTTGCCGGATCACAGCACGCTCTTTCATTTACATATATGCTTGTTTTCGTGCTACAATCGCAGAGGTGAGTAGTTACAACAGAAACTGTATGGCCCATGAAGGCTAAAATATTGACTCCCGGGGTGCCTGGGTGGCTCAGTGGGTTAAAGCCTCTGCCTTCAGCTCAGGTCATGATCCCAGGGTCCTGGGATTGAGTCCCACATCCGGCTCTCTGCTCAGCAGGGAGCCTGCTTCCCTTCCTCTCTCTCTGCCTGCCTCTCTGCCCACTTGTGATCTCTGTCTGTCAAATAAATAAATAACATCTAGAAAAAAAAAATTGACTCCCTAGCCCATGACAAAAAAAAACTTGCAGATCTCTGACCCAGAATGTTCCTCTTGCCTTTGTTTTTAATACAACACTAACAGTTCAAAGAGTCCAGAACATTTGCTCACAGAAACTTTTTTAGATTGATCTGATTAATATACATTTATTGAAACTGAACACACTATATTTTAAAATATAAAATCCTTGTGAAATTATCAGTGCTCCACAGGGCAGCATTAAACAGCTCTTTATGTGTCCAAACTATAAACACAATAGAAAGGCAAACAGTAAATTGGAAAAATAATTACAATTCCAAGATCTTATCTCTTTTCATACTTTATTTTTCAGGAAGGAGGAAAAAAAAGCATGTCCTGTCTGACATCTGGTAGAGAGTTTTAATGACAAATGGAGGCCTTAACTGATCAAATCCTTGTATCATTTAAATAGAGAAACCAGTAGGAAAAGCAGGGGTCTCCTTCTTCAAAAAATCGTAACATATAATTTCAAACACATGCCCCTGAGTGTACAGAAATTGAGATACATACACAAGACTGTCAGCACCCTGAGTGTAGGGCTGGGTCCCTAGCATGCCTGACACACAGAAAGTAGTCAATGAAGGTCCATGGAATAAAGAAATGAGTAGCATTCCTTTACACATCTGGGCAGGGTAGGTGGTCATGAAAATATTCACACCCATGTATTAGACTAGTCGATACTTTTTTTTTTTTAGCATAAGAAGCATGCACATCACACTAAATGTCTGGCCAGTTACTGTTTTGCTAGGAGCTCACACGTGTTCATCTGAAGTAGCATTCAGTTAGCTCTGAACACGGAGAGCCAGAAAGCGTCTGGCCTCCCCTTCCAGTGAACCGAGGCCAAACTCTAATGAATAGTACCTTCTCCCCTTACTCTTTGGACACAGTGTGTCTATCCCACTGACCACCTAAGACATTATAAGTGAATCATAAATCATAATGAAAGAAAGCTCTGCTAACTGGTTTTTATCAGTTCAATAACGAGGCTGAGGCCACGCACGGTGTAATTCCTCCCCACTTCTCTGAGATGTCATTTAGCCTATATAAAAAACCCTTTGGACCTCCCTAAGCCACAGTATATATTTTAACAGTAATCTTTAGGAATAGAAGTTAATAGCCATCAAGTCTGGCACAGCTCACATAAATGGCCCTGAAGAGTGAGCTGTTGATCACAAATAAAGCTGAAGATTTAAACAGTTCCTGGTTGATGCTTGAGCAAAGGATCTCTTTCCTGGTTCCCAAGGCAGAATATGGCCTTTGCATGGTTGAAGAGGGCATTCAGGCCCTGGCCTTTGAGCACGATCCCAGCACTGCTGCCTACCAGTTTGTACTCCTTGTGTTTTCTGAAAACAACATGTTAGACAAATTAGCAAAAGATCTCCACCTGGACTATGTTACTTTCTATAATCTCTTACATGCCAAATACAAGAGGGTTAATTCCATTTAACCCAATCCACAGCTTCTAAGACATTGATGTCTTACGAAAGTATAGTTTTTTCCCTTCTTCATGGAAGAAATGTGCCTGACTATTCTAATTTGTGATTATATGGTAAATAAACTGACACAATTTTGTAAAGTTACTGGTATCTAGTAGCATTTTTAGGACTAAAAAAACACACACACACAGCAAAATTAATAGTCTAGTTTGGTATTCGTCATTCACTGGAAGATTTTTCTCCCCTACCCAAACTGTTTAAAAGCAAAAAAGGGAAAATGGCCCATTTATGCAGAAATTTGCAACTTATTTTTGACAATATACTATAGCAACTTAAAGTGTTAAAAGTAGCAACTTACTTGTATACCAAAAGGGTGATCACAGTGACAAATATGGCTAAGCAGCCCACGGAGACCAGGGCACCATTTGCCATTCTTGAAGGGGAAGCTGGGTCTTAAAACAGAAGCAAGACAGTATTAGTGACATCCTCCGCCTAAGGGACATGCTACTTGTAATGCAATTAAATAAATTAGAAAGGGAGCTACCCGAAGATATATGGCTCCCTCTGGGTTTTCAGTAATCTTTTCCATTAAATAATACATAGTCTTTGGGTCAGCTTATCTTCCATTTAGAGAATGAGTTAGCATGTCTGGAACACTGTGTTAAGGGCTCAGAGAGAGATGTCATGTCCTGGAGACACCTGCTCAGGTCTCAGCTGACCCCGCAGCACCCACACGGTGAAGGGCTCCATGACTCTCCCCACTGCTCCTCTGGCCCCATCTCCCACTACCTACCTTCCAGCTATGCTAAAGATCCTGGAGTGGCCTATCCTTCCCCTGCTCTTTCAAATCTCCATGCCCTCTGCCAGGAACATCCTTCCCTTGGGCTCATTTCAAGCATTCACCCTGTGGGGTGACTTCTGGACATTCATGAGGGCTGAGGGCTCTGGGTCAGGACACCGGCCTGTGTCACTCCTCTACTTGCCTCTCTTCCTCTGCCTCGATCACACTGTGTGGCAATTACTGCTTTATACACATGCTTCTTTCCTTCTCCCAGACTGTGGGATTGTGTCTTCTCTGGATTCCCAGAAAGCAGCAAATTAACTCATCTTGTCCCTACTGTCAAAGAGGAACTGGAGTTGATCTTTTTTTCTCCATTCCTTCCACCACTGTGCAGTTCCAGCCACCAGCCTCTGCCCCCCCACCCCAAAAGGACATCTTGTCTACCTGCTTCCACTCTCACCTTCCCGTGATCTTTGCTTCCCTTGGTAGTTCAAATGATCTTTAAAGGCATCTATCAGAGCATGCTTCAAACCTGCTGGAGGCTCCTTATACACAGAATAAAACTCAAGCCCTACCCGTGGTCTACAACCATCTAAATGGACTGCTCATTCCTGAAAGTCAGGCTTCAGTTCAGAGGAGGCTTTTCACAAGCAGATGATGCTGGGTAGGCAGGACTGTCACTGACCTCCCCAGTCTGGAGAGCCAAACTCTGTCCCCTCTCTCCCCCATGCTTGTCACTCTCCATGCCAGGACATTCTTCACAATGTCATCTTATGTGTGATCTCTTTCAGCCCACAAAAGCAGGGCTCACAAAAGCCCACAAAAGCCCTCTTCCTCTTGTTCCCCACTCTGTCTGGAACTGTGTATCTCAGGCCTACAGCTCTGCTGGGCACGGAGTAGATGCTCAATGAATATTTGTTTAAAGAATTGCAGGTGCTTCATGAACATTCATGGAATCAATGAGTAAGTCATTCCTCCTAAAAGTCTATTGGTTTGCTTTTGATCAAAGATCTGTTTCTGAAATTCTGATTTTGAAGTTCAAGTCGTCAAGTTACAATCCCCCCTGGATTGAAAGCTCTCTTTCTGAGCTTCCTTTATTTGGATTTTGAAAATGGCTCAGGTCACCTAAAGTTCTCACTCACTGTAAGAAGGAGGAAAGGAAAGCCAATATCTAAACATCTAATCTGGTAAGAGAGCAGTGGTTTGCCAGCTCCTAGGAGGCTTTGTAGAATAGGGTATGACCCTGAAAGGCTGTTCTAAGAACTCCCCACAGCTGTCCGAGACTAACCCCAGCAGCTCCTGGAGGTGACAGCTCGAAGACCAGCACTCGCTCACTCCCACTGGGTCCCAGCACTCCAACCTGCCTCCTTCCTCCCCACCCTCCCAGCTCCCCACCGGGAGTCCCAGCATAAGCAGCCTTGGCAGAAGCAGGGCACCTTTGCCTCCTGGTTTTATTTTTTAAATCAGTGCCTTAGATCTCACCAACTATAAGCCCTCATACACATCACTCTATGTATGGTTACTTAAGCTTTTCTTTCAATGAGGTTAAAGCTGCCTTTTATACAATTAATGAGTAAATCTCTGTTTCAGTACATTTTACCTTATGAGACAGGCTCCAAATCCAAAGGAGCTGTGAGTTAGTCATGAGGGCGTATGGGACAATACTCAAATCAAGCAGCAACAGTAAGTGTTGTCATGTGTGCACAATTTAATCTCGTTCCCATTTCACCCAAAGTGTTTCTTCTAAAACAGTGTCTTACAACAAAGTCAACTGTAAGTGAAATTCAGCGAGGGTCACCAGGTGGAGTCCTAATTTGGTGACTGAGAAAATTGGAAGCCACCAGTAAATGACAATTTCTCAGTGAAGTTCCTTAGCCCACTTTGCCAGCATTTCCCCTCCCCAAGCACCAGCAGGGGAAAGAGTAGATTTTCTCGTGAACACTGACAAGCAAGCTGGTTTGTTACTGTTTCAGGATAATGACTGGTAGACTTTGAGAAGGGAAAGAGAGGACACACGGCAAGTTAGAAAGGAGCCAGCAGTCCACCTGCTTTCTCATTTCTCTTCTTGGCTTCATGTCTTTGCCTAGGTGGATTCTTACGACAATAGGGTACCAGTCTCCCTGTTTTAGAATTTAATTGGAGAACACTGTTATTTTTTGATGTTAGGCTTCATACTTTTCCCTTGACATATAAATCTCTTCGAGCACGCAGTGATCATATCCCATTATTACTGGTCCATGATCACAGCTGATTTTTTTCATCAAAAGACTTATCTTTGGTCATTTCACTGGGTCTCTCTCTCTCATCCCTTCCCTAAGTAGATTTGCTGTGGGACTTTCATGCCAGTTGTCAAATCCACATTAACGACAGTTCAGTGATTTTTTTTCAGTGAAATAAAATTAAACACTGATAGCGAAGCCTTGAAGGGCTTTAGCATAGGACACACAGTACCTGTGATATGAAATGTTCGTACAACCACAAAACAATACTTACCTCTTGCAGAGACAGAGACAAGGGTGCTCGTGAGGGCCAGACTTGTATTATCACTGAGGGTCAGGTTCATACAGTATGTCCCAGATCCACTGAACGCTCTTCTCACAGTCAGCAAGCAAGTGCCATCTGTGTCCACATCTACAGGGTCACAGACCGTGTTGTAGGTGATCTGGCAGGTAGGGTCAGAAACTATGGTACAGACCTCCGTGGGCATTCTGAGGGGGACAGACGGCACCAGGGGAGGGAGATATAATATCAGTTTAAAAGGGACAATCATAATCATTACCTGTCCATAAAATTGACTAGAATTTGATTTGAATTCCACTAGAATTAATTTGGATCCTTATTATTTGATTCTTGCATATGATACAAGAATATCAAACCATTTGATGTCAAATTGTCACATATAATTTACTCCTAAACAAGTATGAGCTACTATTTCCCCTGTATCCTCAGTAAGGTTTGGCTCTGGGGGTGGAGGAGGAAGAAATTATGACTGCCCCCTGTCCAAAGGCAAGGGGCTGTTGGAAACTGTGTGAAGCCCAAGTCATTCCTCCCTAGAATGCCTGCAGCTGTGGTCTGCTGAGGTGTCGGCCAAGGATACTATTAAATGCCAGAGCTGGCCCACCTGGGTCCCCACAGAGGTCAAACAGTGACAGCAACAGTGGCGGTTGAGTCAAGATTTACTATGTGCAAGACATAAAACTGTAGATGTGTGATATGGCCTTGATTACTCCTCTCATAGGAAGATGAGGAAAGTAAAATAAGCCTAGTGTAGCAGGCGACAAACCAGCTCAGCGAGGGGGAGACAACTGGGAGACTAACGCGAGCCATTAGGGGTGGAGCTGGGACTTGAATAAGTGAGGCTGGACGACCACGAGGCAACGTGACCGCGCATTACTGTCATCAGCAGGGTTTCCCTTGTGGGTGGACCTCCTGGATGGAGAGACCTTGCTCCGACCTTGATCTGGTGAGGCATGGCGTGCACGGAGGACACCCGCTCTTCTCAGCTGGCCTCGTTCCTCCATCAGCTTTTCCTCAATTTTCTGTCATCGTCACCCCTCACCTCTCCCTAAGATGGAGAGCTTCTTAGCTATCCCTTTTTATCAAATGAGGCCACATTTTTATACCATCTCATTCCCTTCATTAATTTATACATTTACATACATACATTTTAATTACTTAATTTATCCATTACACATATATTTATGAATGCTTTAGCTTACTCAGTTAATTAATGTTGTATTTATTAACTTATAGTCTATTAACTTCTATTAGTCTATTATATAGTTCTAACCAAGCCGTAGGAGGTCAAATTATATAATGAATTAGAAAAAGCTTTGTAGGGGCGCCGGGTGGCTCAGCTGGTAAGTGTCTGCCTTGGCTCAGGTCATGATTCCAGAGTCCTGGGATTGCACTGGACTCCCTGCTGGGTGGGGGTCAGCTCCTCCCTCTCCCTCTGCCTGCCTTGTGCTTGCTCTCTCTTGGGCTCACGATCTCTCTCTATCTCTCTCTAAAATAAAATCTTTTTAAAAAGACTAAAATATAAACCTATATAAATATAAAAAAAAAAAGAAAAAGCTTTGTAAAGTTTAGAGATACAGGATTATTGGGCACTGTTATTAATTCATGCTAAGATATGGCCATTCCACACTGGCTTCCCACCACTTGGAGGGGCCTCAAGGAGCCTAGTATCTGGGCTCCAAGACAGACCACAGCCTGTGAACCATGCTCTGTGGGTACCCACCGTCTATGGGGCAAGTTCTGTAATCACCGTGTGCCTCAGTGGAACCATCTGTAAGATGAGGAGACTCAGGATTGGGTAAGGATTCAATAAGAGAACCGATGTAAAATGTTAAGAACACAGTAAGTGTTCAATCAATAATTTACTCTTCAATTTCATCAGCAATTTAAAGGTAATGAGCATTGCCCAATCTAGCAAAACGAGTGCTTCTGAGCCCCTCCCAGGGCCCTTCCTGGTTGTAGCTGACAGATGAGTGGGAATCTAGATCAGCTTCCAAGAGGAGCTGGTGTGACGGCCTCTGCTCAGGCCTTGGCCTGATCCTCTGACTGAGATGTACTCACATCCCTTGACAGGTCACAACAAAATCCATCAGCGACTTGTCAGGCTGTGGCACGGGCGTCACAACGTCTGTCATCTGGATGATGTTGACCTCCAGAACTCCATCTAACAAAACACCCACCCAGAAAAACACATCAAAATACAGCAAAAACCAGACCGAATTATTCCTTCACAAATCAGAAAGCCACACAAAACAGAGACACGGCATTCTTGCACTGATCTGGGAGTCTAGCCCGCAGGTGGATACGTGTCTATGCAGCACGTTCAAAGTGAAACCGAATTGCTCCTCATTCCAACCTGGCCCTTGGTTTCTGGAGCCTGTGAATGTGTTAGAAGGCTGCACTCCTTCCGGGCAGGAATTTCAGAGAAAGGTAACCCCCGGGGAAGACGTAGGCCTTGGGCTCCGGCCCAGCTGGCTTCCCTCAGCCCCGGGGTACAGAGTCGGGGATTTACCCCCATCTCCAGAACTGGGGTGCCTTGGCTGGGCTTCGGCCCCCACCTGTCTTCTCTGTGGGGGTGCCTGTGGGCAGTGCCCACAATACACAGCCATCTGTGGTAGCCCCGCTCATCCCTGCTCCTTACACACTAGGCAGGAGGCTTTGTGAAATCAGAGAGAGGAAGGAAGTGGCAGTTGTGGGAACTTGCTACTGGCCTTTCTTCAAAGGCAAGTTCCTTCAGATTTCTGGAATGCGCAGGGTGGGGGATGTAGGTCTGGAGCAGACTCATTAGTAGGTGGGCCTCACACTGGGCTCGTTTCCACTAGAATGTCTAAGGAAGGCTGGCATAGGCCAGTCAGAATCTAGAAACAGGTGACGTCCTGGCTTTGTGCCCACGTGGCATCACCTTGAACAGAGGGTGAGGGCCCCAGCTCCCACCCTTCCAGAGTCAAGAGGGTGAGAGGGTGGCCCGGGGTAGATTCCAACATCCTGCCCCTGCTGCTCTTACCTACAATCGTGATGGTGGCTTTGAAGTAACCATATCTGTTAATATGGCAGGTTTCCTCAGGAGTCGCCCTCAGCTCCGGGGGGCGGCCACCCGCTGATGCTGGAAAGTTGGATTAATAAGATTTTAGATGAGTTGCTGAGAATGTAAAAGATTTACATAATAGATAATAACCCCAAATCTAAACAGGTACTTGATAACCAACAATCTAAACATCTACCTGCCCTTTAGAAAAACATCAAGAGTTCTGAACTATTAAATTACTGCAGAAATTTGAAGTGAATATGAATGATTCACAGAGATGTGAGAACTAGCAGGCGTTATAATTGTTAAATTATGTAAGTGAACACAATCCTGTATCTTCTTTAAACACGGGAACCAAATGAAAGGTAGAAGCCATATTAAAATGTATGATACAACAATCATGACAAAATCAAGCAGGGTGTGACAGATAAAATCGTATGTTGGGGCGTCTGGGCGGCTCAGTCGGTTAAGCATCTGCCTTTGGCTCAGGTCATCATCCCTGGAGTCCTAGGGTCAAGCCCCTCATCTGCTTGTGCTCTCTCTCTCTCTCTCTCTCCCGCTCTCTCTCAAATAAAATCTTTAAGAGAATAAAATAGACTAATGTTAAATAAACTAACATTAAACCTTTACCATTTAGGAATTTTTAGACAGTTCTAGATATTACAGGAATCTACAATTAATTTTGAATTTTATACCTGGTCTCCTTAGTTGTAAAGAAAACCATTGATACTTATAGAAAAAGAAATTCTCCTACAGAAATATCAGAATGAAGCTATATGATTAAGTTGTTCAGTGCAGTTATATTTATAACTGGAATTAGGATTAATTTAATCAACCATCATCAGATAATGGTTAAATAAATTATAAATTTATACATACATTACTTATATTCTAAGTTTATACATACTATGAAATACTATGTAGCCATTTAATAATGTGAGTTAAATTTTATGTACTGACAAGGGAAAGATGTCCATGATATTTGCTAAGTGAAGAAAAACAAATTATAGAACCACATGGATAGCATGAGCCCATTTCCTTAAAAAGCAAAACAACACCTATATGTATAGTTATAAAATATGTTTGTAAAGGCATAGAAATAGATCGGAAAAGAAACGCTTCCAGCTGTTACTAAGGTTTAACTCTTGGGAGGAGAATGTGAGTAGGGACTTTCACTTTTATTCTAGGCTTCTCTATTGCTAGAATTTTTATTAAGGAACATGCATTAATTTTGTAATTTAAAACATTTCAAAAAATAATGAATCAACATTAGTAATAACTTAGTGTCTTGATTAGATATTCCAGATTTAATGAGATCTCCTTTTATTAATAACATACTGTTACAACAATTTATTATTTATAACAGGTTTTGGTAAAAACAAGTGCAGCAAGTCTAGACATCAGGTTGGACTATTTACTCTGGGCTTGGTGATGGCGCCCTCTTGTGACCAGTGGGAGGATGGCAGTATATTACCATCCCCTTCAAATTGGGGTGCTGAGTACTCATGGCACCGTGGGGTGGGAGGGGGCATTAGGTGGAAGCTAACACTTTCCAAAGTAGACTCTTAGGAACTTTTAAAATGGCCTCATATACTATTAGTACATATACTATATAGTACATATACTATTAGTAGAGAATGGGATTTAATTTATTATGCCTTATATCTAGAACAATCTTAATGTCTGGAGTCTTTACTCTCAAGGTATATTCTTTCTTGGGCCATCTGGAAACCACTTCCAAGTACAGCTGTGTTTTGATGGGACACTAGATGGATGTGGGCCGGGAAGGGAGGAGAATGGACGTAGGGAGAAATGTGGGAGGAGGAAGGAAGACAGTGGGGATGGCCTGAATGTTTATGAAGGGCGAGATGTATTCTCATAACGAGAAAAAATGGGAGAGAATCAGAGATGTGATGGGGGATACCTGGGTGGCTCAGTCAGTCAAGCATCTGCTTTCAGCTCAAGTCAAGATCCCAGGGTCCTGGGATCGAGTTCAGCATTGAACTCCTTGCTCAGCGGGGAGCCTGATTCTCCCTCTGCCTGCTGCTCCCCTGCTTGTGCTCTCTCCCTCCCAAATAAATAAATAAAATCTTAAAAAAAAAAAAGAAATGTCTATGGTGAGTGCTGTGAAGTGTGTAAACCTGGCGATTCACAGACCTGTACCCCTGGGGATAAAAATATATTGTATGTTTATAAAAAAAAAAAAAAAGAAAAAAATGTGACGGGCCAGACAGGGAAAGCATTTGTACACATAACAAGGACCAGTACAAATTGGAAAGGTCAAAGAATGGCACTTAAGTCATGAAATTCTACTTGCAAAGTGGAATTTAAACATACTCTCCTTTCTTCCATATTCTAACAGCTTAAAATGGTGATAATGTGGCTAAAGAATGACACGTACAGAATTGAATCACAGCAGACTCAGCACACGGTTCTTTAAGCTAGGGATCTAATTATGTAACCTGTATTATTAGATTAAAAAAAAAATAGCTGTTAAGGAACCCCCCTCAAAGATCACCTGGAAAACACTTACATAAAGGAGAGGTGGGTTTTGGAGGTTTGGGTGAAGGTGAAGGACAAGGTCCAGGCACTGCAGCTTGCACAGTGAGGTTAAGGCTGAAGGTTCCATTGAGCACATATGTGTGATTCAAAGTTGGGTTGTTGGAAACAAACAGACCAGTATTATCCCCGAAGTTCCACTTGTAGTTGATGGCCGACTCATTGAGGAAGTGACTAGGGTCGTGAATCAGGACACTGAACATAATGGGGAGGTCCCTGAGGAAGGTTTCATCAGATAAATTTCGATCATTCTTCTGGTACATAGTCACAAATACAGGAACCTGATCTAAAAGATATACCCCAAAATAGAAAGAAAACACAATTGCTTGATTTTAAGTAGATGACTTCGATAATGCTTTTAGGTTCAAAAATTAAAATTACAATGAAGGGTGCCTGGGTGTCTCAGTTGTTAAACATTTGCCTTCAGCTCAGGTCATGATCCCGGGGTCCTGGGATCCAGCCCTGCTTCAGGCTCCCTGCTCAGCGGGAAGTCTGCTTCTTCCCTCCTACTCCCCCTGCTTGTGTTCCCTCTCTCACTGGCTCTCTCTCTGTCAAATAAATAAATAAAATCTTAAAAAAAAAAAAAAAAACAGAAACTAAAACTAAAATGAGAGATAATTTAGCATTATTTTCCCTCTTCCTATGCAAGTTTGCTAGGGGTTTTCCAAGTTATTCTGGAAACACAGATGGAGTAAAATATATTTAAATATATAAGCGAGGGAAGGAACCCATACAGATTGTAACCTAGCCCAGAACACTTAGCTCTAACTCTTACTTAATCCACTAACATCACCAGAATGAAATGCCTCACCACCAGTTAACTTCAAGTTCACACCACTCACTCACCTGTTACCACGTACACGTCTTTCACTTTTGCGATGGGGACATATACGTGGTGGTGTCTTCTATAAACAATTACTTCCATGAGTTGGGGGCCAAGTGTCACATTGGCTGTGTTTATAGAAACTCTTGCTGAACCCCGTCCTAACTTCTGCAAATACTGACCTTTGGGAGGATGGAAATTTTTAGTTATTGGCCACATTACATGATCATTATAGGAAGTTGTTGTTTCTTTATGACTAATGACTGCCACTTAGAGAACGCTCTTGGAAAAGGAAAAACAGGATGAGGATGTAGGTCCTGGCTGCTTCAGAAAGGGAGATGGTGCTCATTTTATATAAAACCTTATAACATAAACCCACTGTTCCATAAATATAATTGTATGTAGTTGGTTAAAATGGAAAGAGAAGTTTAGTAGGAAAATACTGTTTAGTCCTTAGTTTACAAATAAAAAATGTTTGTAAGTAAGATGTCTGGCACTTGAAATACATGTGTTTCCCGGAGAATACCCATTCAATGCAATAGTGAGGTGTCTAAGGGAGCTAAAAAAATTTATCCAATATTGTTGTAACAATATTACCATTTCAGCTGTATCAAGCAGTTTCTTTTTTAGGGGACTAGAATCCTCCATTTTCTAATAGAATTTGTGTATAATAAAACAAAGTAAGTGGTGAAAAAAGAGGTAGGGTATGGTAGACATAAAAAGTAATGTAGTGGTTCTATAAACACATTTCTAGGACATTCTTGACTCACTCTTTCTCTTTCTCCAGCCCTAACCTAAATCTGATTGCCACCAGCTAGTTAGTAAAAATGATCCCTATCCCTCAGGGCCCAAGGATTTTTCTAATGCTATTGAGGCACTCAACACAGATGTAAGATTGAACAACAGGGATGCCAAGACGGATGCTTGTGGGGGTGTTTAAAGACCATGTTTAACACACGGTCAAATATATCAGAAAAATACACTAATCTCAGGGATATGTGATTCGGAATCCCCTTTACCTGGAGCCGCAGAGGCAGTTCTTTTGCAGGTTGTAGGGGAAAGAGGTGTCTCGCAGGGGGCTAGTCACACATGAGGAAAATGTTAGTCCTGGCATGGGGAGACCACAGAAGCAAGTGTTAGTTGAAGGACAGTATCAGTTAACGTCAGATAAGAAAATTCAAAACAGATGTGTTAGAAAAACAGCAATTTCTGGGCTAAAAACTGGTTTTAATAGATATCTTAACTAAAAAGAGGGGTAACGAGAGACCAGAGTGCTAGGGAGCATACGTGACTCCACGCAGATGGTCTGGTCAAAGAAATCGTGACATTTGGGGAGTTGACTGGGCCATGAAGGCACGGAAACAAAGTCAGCCTTCAACCCCAATTTAACTAGATGGGCATAATATTTGATATATATTTTGTACTTTGTTAAGCTGATGTGTATTACTAATGTGTTGTTCTGATTTATAAATGAGTTAACTGGACAAAGAAACTTTCTCTAATTCATGAAAAAAGACAAAACATTTAGAAGTTTGGAGCCTGCATGGATGGTGGCAGTTTCCAAGCTGTCAGAGCCAGATGGCACCTGGTGACATATTTAAGAACTTAGCAACTTTGCTAATCATAACCTAAATTTGCTCCTCCTAAAAATAATCACTTCACCAATAATAAAACAAGAGTGGATACCATTTGTGGTTAAAAAAAAAAGAGTGTAAGCTTTGTCAAAGAAGAACAGGGGTTAGATTATGTTATTTCTACACAATGGAATATTATGCAGTCATTAAAATAATGTACATAGGAATTTTAATGATATGATCAAGCACTCATGATAACAAGGTTGTGTATACATTCTAGTCTTAATCAAGGAATACTAGCAAAAAAAAAAAGACCATTGTGTTAACAGTGATAATCTCTGGTGTCAATTACAGATGATTTATTTTTCATTTGTACTCTTCCTGCATTTTCCAAATTTCCTACAAAGAGCGTAAGTTTCTTTCTTAAAAAATCTTTTGATAATAAAAAATTTAAAAATAATCAAATGCCCATCAGTGTGCCATTCGAACAAATATTCCTATTTTTTCTATTACTGTTTTAGACAGAAAGAAACTGAATAGTTTTCTTTTAAGAAAGAAAAATGAATTTTTTTCCCTTCTTCTAATTCCTTGGTGTTCTGAAGATTTGCCAAAGCTAAACAAGATTTTCATTTTTATCCCTCATGCTCCACCCCAGCTAAGGAAAGTTCACAGAGTAACTGTTGTTAAACTCTTAAGTGTTAGCATTCTTGCTTATAGAATAAGAAAAGCGGAAAAAAATGTTAAAATTTGAAGGGCAGGTAAAGAAGCAGCTAAGGGGGTTTTGTAAAAAGTCCAACCAAGTGTGTGAAAGACGTAGACAAAACTGCATCTCCTCCATCCAGGGTGGTGAGGGAAAGGCTTCCCATCAGGGAACACATGGTGATGGTGTTGGCTGTGGTCATTTCCCCAACCGCCTTCCTCGGTCCAGTTGTAAACGTACAGGTCAGGAGATGGATCAGTATCTAAACAGAGAAAGAAACAAGCAGGCTTGTCATCTGGGCTCAGAATGCCCAATGCTCATCACTGAATTAAACACCTTTTCATATTTTCATAAATATAAACATAGTTGGACAACTAAAACCCTAATTTTGAGAATTCATCTAGTGGTGTGTATTTATGACCTGTCTGTTTTCTGCCTATAGGCTGTATTTCAGTAAAATTTCATATAAAGCAATTATTCAGAAAGAGCCAATCTAGATATACTAGAATATATTTGTTTTTAATACTGTACCTCACACCACAACTGTACTCAAACCAAAATGAGGGATGCTTTATCTTTTTATGTTGATACTGCTATCTGTAGTTTTTGTTTTTGTTTTAACCCTGAGTCATTTGGCATCAAACAACTCTCAACTCCTAGAGATTTTGGCACACTCCTAAAAATAAGAACATTAACCTACATAACCACAGTATCATTACCACTCTTCCTATAGTCTGATCATGGGTCACATACTGTATTTGACTATTTTGTCTCTTCAAACGATTTGGAAAAAAAAGATAGAAGTAAATATGGCAAAAATGTTAAAATTGTGGAGTCTAGGTAGGAGGTTTTGGTATACTCAGTGTACCCTGATTTCAACTTTTTTGTATGTATGACAATTTCTTTTTAAGTAATCTCTACACCCAATGTGGGGCTCAAACTTACAACACCAAGATGGAGAGCTGCACGCTCTCCTGACTGAGCCAGCCAGGCACTCCAACATATTTCATTGTAAACAAGTCATGACCAGTATCTTTTCATCTAGACCAGTTCCCTCACCCTCTTGGTTTTTTTTTATGTCACTGACATTTTTGAAGAATCTTTTTATTTATCAATGTATTAGAGCCATTTTTATTTTTTATTCTTAAATTGTCCCAAATAGCCAGAAGGAGTCCCTGCAAGCTGGCTTCTGTGTCCTTGTGATGCATCTCTGTTAGTCCGTGAGTATTTACTTACTTGGGCACACTAAGATGTGCCAGACTCACCTGGTACTTTCCCTGCCCTAGACCTGCAATCAGTGTTTAACTCAAAGGTCCCTGATTCCTTTTTGTGGTGACAGGTATTACATAAAAATTTTCCTTAGACACAGGATTCCTTCACATAAAAATGCTCAGAGGGCTAAAATGCCGTTTGAAACATTCATAAGAATTAGCATTTTTAGAAAGAGAAAAATTACTACAAATTTTAGACACTTGACACTTTAAAAATATTAAACCCTTTTTATATAGGATCTAATGTTTTCCTAATAGAACTATGATAAATTAATAAGGAATGAACACAGACAGTTTAATAGAAGTTCTAAGTCATAAAGTCGGATCGTAAGGGTATTTAACAGTCTTGTCACTGATTGAAGAATCTCAGTTATTAGCTCCAAGATTTGGGGAATGTGCAGTTCTCGAGACAATTTCCTTTGATGCATCTGTGTTCCTTTGTGCTCTTTAACATGTACAAAGAGCTTACCTGCCTTAAGGGCAAAGCGAAACTACAACATACACATCTTAGCATTTGCACCAGCCACAAAACACTGGGTTAAGCAATAATTGTAAGCAGAAATCAGTCCGATCAGCAAATGTTTGACAGATCAGCTATTCTTCGAGTATCCAGAAGAATTTCAAGTAACCAAACCAAAATCCGAGAATCAACAAGGTATTCTCTGGATAATCAACTAGACCCTAAGAAAAAGCCGAGCATGACGATGTCCCTCTTGAAGAAAGTTCCAAGTGGCAGAAAGCCACCAGTTTGCTCAAGTGTGTTTGGCTAATGTTGATACAGGAACTGGATGGAGCAACATGTCCCTGTCATCCAATTTGAGGAGGGGGTGACATGGGGTGATAGCAGAGCACCTGTGAGTGTTTAGGTTTATGAGATGGGTCTCCAGTAGTTAGGAAAACTAGCCTATTCCTGTGGCATGGGTAACATTCCTTACCATTTCTGCAGTTCATCTCATAAACTATGTTGCCACTGACATCTTCCTTCTGGCATCTGGGGAACACCAGGTCTACCACAAACGTGATCGTTGAGCCCACAAGTGCTGGTGAGTCACTGGTCAGAATCGCCTGCACGTGGCCTCCTAGCACATAGAAAAGTGCAGTTTAGTGATCAAGCATCTTTTCCCTTTTGTTGACAAACAGAGTTGAGTTGAATCCACCAATAAGGACCAGAGCATCCCAATGTCTCTCTCTCTCTCTCTCTCTCTTTTTTTTTTAGTGAACACTATGCCCAGCATGGGGCTTGAACTCATGATCCAGAGATCAAGAGTCACATGCTCTACTGACAGCCCTCCCATCCTTATGCCTCTTAGCAATAAATTATTTTCTGGATTCCTAACTTTTGCTTTCAGAGTACATTCTACAAGGTGGGGAAACAAGGAGGTCAGACCAGTTAAGTCTTTGATCATAGAAAGAACATTTACTTAAGATAAAAAAGAATCTGCTCAACTGGATTGAAGAAACAAGTTTTAAAGGTTTGTATTTTTTAGACTCAAAACCGATGACTAAAGGACTCACTCTTTCATGCAAATGGGAAGATACTTTCTGATAAACCACACTTCTGATATGGTCAAAACTGCTTGAGTGTCTCAGCTCTTCTGAAGTGGACCATTCCCATATTATGTAAAGAGGGTCAGGGCGAAATCTGTTTGCTATCCAAAATCTTCCAAGAACTACGAACTTGTCAATTTCTAAGTGGATTAAAGTTGAGTGTGTGTGACTTAGAAAGTGACAATGTTGAGATAAAAAAAAGATTGCCAAATCCAGGTGCCTCCCACTTGGTAACTAGAGTACAGTCATTAGAAGCAATGTAAGCCATGTGATCTCCAAGTCTACAATGTAAGAGACTAAGTCAAATAGGAAATGACAGTCGTTTATCTTGAATATGTGATTTACCTTTCCAGGAGTTTTTCCACCTTGGGTCTTCCTTCTTCCATACTGGGTAGAGTTTTTCATTCCATTCATTCTCATCTGATGACCAACCAGTTAGTTGGCTGTGCTCCCTCGTATAATCAGAAGTTCTTTCATTGCTCAGCACGTCATGAAATCCTAGATCAGTATTTGAAAAGCAAATAATTTTGCTTACTCCTTTCCTCATTTAGTATTTGACAGTACCTAAGTAGTCAAAGCAACTTCTCATTTCATAAGTTTGGAAAATCGTACTTAATATTTCCAGTAAGTCAAACAAATAGGTTTTTATTTGAATGTCTTCTGAAAATAGTTTAAATACAACTATTCAGACCCTCTTTATGTACTTTTTTTTTTTAAAGATTTTGACAGACAGACAGACATCACAAGTAGGCAGAGAGGCAGGCAGAGAGAGGGAAGCAGGCTTCCTGCGGAGCAGAGCACCAGATGTGGGGCTCAATCCCAGGACTCTAAGATCACAACCTGAGCCAAAGGCAGAGAGGCTTAATCCACTGAGCCACCCGGGCGCCCTCTTTATGTACTTTAAATAGTCAAGGAGGGGCACCTGCGTGGCACAGGTGGTTAAGCATCTGACACTTGGCTTTTGCTTAGGTCCTAATCTCCGAGTCATGAGATGGAGCCCCATGTTGGCTCTTCGCTCAGTGCAGTCTGCCTAAGACGGTCTCTCCCTTTCCCTCTACCTCCCCCTCCCCCATGCTTTTGAAAAAAATAATTTACTTATTTGACACAGAGAGAGAGAGCACCCAAGCACAAGCAGGGGGAACAGCAGGCAGAGGGAGAAACCAACTCCCCAAGGAGCTGGGAGCCTGACACGGGACTTGATCCCAGGACCCCAGGATCATGACCTGAGCTGAAGGCAGACGCTTTTATTGACTGAGTCACCCAGGCATCCCGTAAATAAACATTTTAAAAAATTAAATGAGTCAAGGAAAATTTCTGAAAGTTGTTTAATTTCTCAATACATATTCTCTGATTATTTGAATCTGATATGCTAGAATTAGGAAAACACTGATGCCAATGATATTCAGATCAGTTTTGGCATCTTTTCCCATTCTTACCTGTTCTCTTGGCTAAAAGAATGTCAGGCTCAGGAATGCCTCCAGGTTTCCAAGAGATGCAAACCAGTACTGGAAAGCCCACAGTTGAACAATCTAACTTTTTTACGGCCCAGTATATGTTCTGAATTGGTGAATGTCCTATATGTACTATGTAATTTACAGTGGTTTTTAAAATATTATGTTAAGAGCTGGGTGGTAATGTTTTGAGACCTCTACGTTCCTGCTGATTTTCTATTTATTTCAATTACTGAGAGAGAAGTGTTGAAATCTTCAATTATAATTACGGATTTGCCAATTTGCCAATTTATTCTTACAGTTCTGTCAGTTAATGTATTTTGAAACTCTGTTTGGAATTGCCAAGTTCTTCATTAATTGATACTCTTGCCAGTAGGAATTGACTTTTATCTTTATTAATAGTCCTTGTTCTTAGGGATACTTTGATAGTAATGATTAGTGGTTAACAGGTACATCTTTTTATTTTTAATGGATATATATTTTTATATTTGAAGTGTGTTTCTTATAGATAGTATATATATTTTTTAATGTAGTCTAACAATCTCTAACTTTCATTCAAAGTGTTTAGGTAATTTATATTTACTGTATTTATTAATACCGGGGGGGATTTAAGTCTACCATCTTGTTATTTTTCTATCTGTCCTATTTGTTCTTTATTCCTTTTTCTTTTCCTGTACTTTTTGGGGTTATTTCTGTAGTCTATATTAGCACCACTTCTGGCTTATTAGCTGTAGCTTTTTGTTTTGTGTGGTTGCTCCAGGGTTTATAAAATTCTAGTTCTTCTGAAATTCTTTCTAATCTCAAGCTGATGTCTTTTTACTTTGCCTGACAACTCCAGTGGTCACATGGTCTCTCCTCTCTTTGAGGATTGTACAGACTGGCTGGCTGCCTACGTAACATTTCCAGGCTGCACTCCTACTCTTTTTTACCCTTGTCGCAGAGCTTCTACTATAACTGCTCAAAATTCCAACAGCTGACTTTCCTAGATTTCCTTACAGTATGAGCAGAAGAAGCTGATTAGAACCTGGCCAGTCAGAACTGAAAGGAAGTCTTCTGAGGGCTTCTGTGAAGTTTTCCTATCATCGGTCTATCCATATATACACACATACAAACACGTATATAACAAACTCCATTTTGTTCACATCAGAAGTGATTTTGGGGACAGTAATGTAGTGACGTGAAGCTCAGAGCTGGGACAGCCATACTTAACCATGAGGGCACAAATCTGAAGAGGCAAGCCAACACACTAAGGAGGTCAGAATGGATGGAAGAGAAGAAAGAGTTCTCAATGTTGTTGAGTTCTTGCTCTAGCTTTTCCTGCCTCTGGACTGGTTAAGGTAAAATGGGTCTTGCTCAACCTATTTGAGTATTGTTACAGCCAAGAAGACAATTTCTAGAACCCACAGCTAATCCCTAACCATACATTATGATAAACTGTCCTCTCATGTGGTCTTGTGTCGTCTGAACCCATAGAGCCAGAAATACAGTCTTCTCCTGAATACTGGAGGAGGACTGCCACAAGGTGTGGCATTTGGCAGGTGCTCAGAGAAGCCATTTTGAATGGATACCACCAACCTCTATCTTCTATTTATCCTTTTTGGTAGAAGGAGGCAAAAACCTGTTGTTTCCTTCTTATAAAGGAGACAGATGGAATGGGAAAGAATATTGAATATTGAACAATGTAGAGGTCTTACGATGGGTGAATGTTACAAGACTTGGGTTCTTGATTTTGTTGCTAAACAGGCTGTATTGACCTCAGATCATGTTTTCTCTGGGCCTCCAAATCAGACAAAAATCAAGTAAGACAAAAACCAAATGTCTTATGATTCTGTAAGATTATTTTTATTTGGAAACAGATACTAAATGAGGGTAGGAAGTGTAGGTTTATCAATCAATGTTTATAACTGGATATTCATTTGAATTGAGTCATGGAGCAGTAGAATATTCAATTTGGAAAAAAACAGTTCAAATCACTTCATTTTACAGATGAAGAAATTCAGGCCTAGAGAAGTGACAGAATTCACTCGGGGTCACTTTTAATGGAGTAGAAATGAAGATTCACATCTTTGGATTCCCAGGACTAATTTTTTTCCACTGTTCTGAAGAGTCTTCCTCTTCCACAGATCCTGAGAGAAAGTGAGTGGTTCCAGGAACAATCAAAACACGGGTTTCTCTTCTGATTATAGATGTCAGAAGTCAAGGAAAGTCAAGGAAAAACATCAACTTAAAAGAGGGACAAGGAATAGATACATGGATCCAGGGAACAGAATGGAGAATGTGGAAATAGACCCACACAAATATGCCTTACTGATTTTTGACAGAGATGCAAGAACAACCCAATGGAATTTCAAAAGATAGCCTTTTCAATAAATGGTGCCATCGGAAAATAGAAAGCATAGGAGAAATTTTCAGGCTCTAGGCAAGAATTCTTTGACCTGACACCAAAGACACGATCCATAAAAGGAAAAAATGATAAAGTAGACCTCATTAAGACGAAAAACATTTGTTCTGTGAAATAGCATGTGAAGAAGATGAAAAGGCAAATTACAAACTGGGACAGAATATTTGCAAACCACATTTCCAGTAAAGGACTGCTATCTAGAATATATAAAGAATTTTCAAAACTCATTAAAAAAATCCAATGAAAATAATGGATAAAAGCCCTGAATAAACAGTACTCTGAAGTGGATACACAGATGGCAAAGAGACATGAGATGATGTCCAGTTTCATTAACCAGTGGAGAAATGCACATTAAAACCACAGTGGGGTATCACTTTACACCTATCAGAATGACTAAAAAAATAATAAAAAACCAGTGATATATCAAAAGTAGGCAAAAATGTGTGAAGACACTGGATTGCTCGTACACTGCTGGTGGGAACAAAACACAGTACAGCCACCCCGGAAAACAGTTTGGCAGTTTCCTGAAAAACTAAACATGCAACCAAAACATTGTACTCTTAAGGATTTGTCCCAAAATGCATTTGTCCCAAAGAAATGAAAACTTATGGTCACCCAAAAACCTACACACGGATGTTCTTAGCAACTTTATTCATAGTAGTGCAAACTGAAACAATACAGATGTCTCAAAATGGGTGAATGTTTAAACAAACCGTGGTATATACATACTGTGGAATCTACCCAGCAATAAAGAACTATTCATACATGCAACAATTCAATAAATTACGTTGCATAAAAAAAGCCAATGCCCCTAAATTACACATTGTAATGATTCTATGGATAACATTCCTGAAGTAAAAGAAATTATAAAATTATAAAAACGGGAGAATGGATCAGTGGTTGCCAGGGCAGGGGGTGTGGTGGGAAGGGGAAATCGGTTTGGCTACAAAGGGTTTGAGGGACCCTTGTCGTGATGGAACGGTTTGGTATTCTGACTGTAACAGTGTCAATATCCTGGCTATGATATTGTAATTGTTTAAGAGGTTACCATTGGGAGAAACTGGGTAAGGTATACAGGGGAATCGCTTTGCATTTTTTCTTAAGCTGCATGTCAATCTACAATGACCTCAAAAAGCTAAGTTAAAAAAATAGAACAAAAGACACCCAAGAGTAAGCAGGTTTTAAAAGAAAAAAGGTGTGGGGGAGGGGGGAGTTAGACGTGAAGGGAAATGAAGTCACAGCCCACACCGATGTGGCTTTTCTCACTCCATTCTAGAATCTCACTCCAGCTGAAGGGGTGGTGGCCAGGTTGCTTGTGAACTGCTCCATCAACACCTGCAGGCCTGCTCTCCCTCTGACCATGCCCCTTCATGCTCTCTCAAATAAGTAAATAAATTAAAATTAAAAAAAGAGTTGGACGCTTAACGCACTAAACCACCCAGGTGACCCACAAGAGGAGCTTTTGAAACAAGGAGGCTCCAACCTGACCTCCCCAAGGGTCTGCTTTCATTAGTCTCGGCATCGGTTGTTAGAAAGCCCCCAACCTCAAAGGTGAGACAAGAACAGAGCCCTCGGGGCCTTGGCTCTCCTCTCAGTAACCTCACCCAAGTGGCAGCAAGCTCCTGGAGGTCTGTGAAAAAGGTCCCAACAGGACTAGGCACAGCTTCCGGGTGGGGATGATCTGTGAACTTGGTTCTAGATTCGGGGCCCGGTTTCATTTGAGCCCTCTACACTACTGGATAGAAACTAGACGAAGTTTAGTGGGTGGCACTGCTTTGTTTCAGGCCAGAAACTGTTCCTCACACCAGCACCCTCTCCTTGTCTGGTGAGAGACAAGGTTGCAACTGCAATAGGGGAGGGGGGGGGAAGCCCCCCAGAGGGGCACCTGGGTGGCTCAGTGGATTAAGCCTCTGCTCGGGTCATGATCTCAGGGTCCTGGGATTGAGCCCCACATCGGGCTCTCTGTTCAGTGGGGAGCCTGCTTCCCCCTCTCTCAGCCTGCTGCTCTGCCTACTTGTGATCTGTCAAATATATACAATCTTTAACCCCCCCCCACACACACACCGCCGAGAGAGGGGCCGGCATGGTTGTTGCTTTCCCAGAGCCTGAAGCCAAGAACGAGCAGGAGGCATTCTGCTGTAGGGTCAATGTTCCCAAAGGTTTTGAGCACAGAAGCTTCCCGAGAACCTTCATGAAGCCCACCTTCTGGCGTGGACAGCGATACCTCAGACAACCCATCACTTCCGCCGACAGAGAATGGGTTAAAACGCACTCGTGTACTCACGTCTGGCAGCATCAAGCGGCAATCTTGCAGCCAGAAGCAGAAACCCCAGGAAACAGTGGAGACATGCCATGCTGAATTCTCAAAGACCCAGGCAATCAAGGTTTAACTTTGAACTCCCCGGGATCCATCCGCTAAGAACAGCAGCTGCTCCCCTGGCCTCTCCCTGCCCTGCTCCTTGTTTTAATTAAATACAGGGTGCCTCGGGGCAGATCATGTGATGGTATTAAGCAGTCTTGCCTGATCTGGTCTCCCAAGTTCAAGCTCTTAAAAACTCATGTGCTTCTGACTCACTCACTCTTAACCTCTATTTTCTCTTTTTACCAGTACACTGTTTGTGTTATGATTCCACATTTCCAGTTAGAGGGACTTCCTTTCCTATGGACCCATTTTCATATCCTCCACCAAATAAGATTTCGAACTTAAACCTCATCGATTCAACTTGCTGCAGTTCCTTTACGGATCCATGCACCCCGCTCATTTAGAGGGCCAGATCTTCCCAGAGCTAACTAAGGCTCATACGTTCCCTTCTCCCCGGAGGAGACACAACTGGGGCGAGGGGGCCGTGATGGAGTTACAGCTTCGATCACTTGAAATTGGGGGTTACAGATGAGTAATAGCATATGTGGTGCCAGAGGGTGCTTGAAACACATGCCCAGGCATCCAATTGCTAAGAAATGTCCTTATAGGCCCACTTAGGACACCCAAGCAGTTCCATAGAGCTTCTGGAACGACCTGCCTGATTTCCGATCACTGCTCTGGAAGTATTTCTGTGTTGTACCTCCCAGGGCCAATTGCCTAAAACAGTGCATGTTTATTTCATGTCACAGAAAGCAGGCATTAGATGAAAAACCAAGCTTGCCTAGAACAAATCATTTCTGGTTATACAATGTGCAGAAAACGTGGCAACATGAACACTGGACAGCCTGGGATCTTTCTGTAAGTCCCAGCCACACAACCATCTTCAGTATACATGGAAGTCCTAACGGGGTGGGCGGCGGGGGAGGCAGGTTGGAGGCATTAATTTAGGTTTCGGCGATGCTAACAAGGCATAGGAAGAAAGTCTGAAACTGCCGTCGGCCAAGCAGGTGTGGGCAGCTCCCTGCCCAGGGCCACGTGCAGCTCTTTAAAGCAAGCTCCTCTTACACACTTTGAAGCACGTATGAAGAGAACAAGCAGCACAGAAATAAAACTATTTTCAACTATGGATGAATAAATGAACAATGGAAGTATTTATTTTATGTAATGTGAATAATTTATCGTTGTTTTTTTAACCAAGAATGTTTAACTTTTTTTAAAAACATTTATTTATTTGACAGAGATCACAAGTAGGCAGAGTGTCAGGCAGAGAGAGGGGGGAAGCAGGCTCTCCACTGAGCAGGGAGCCTGATGCGGGACTTAATCCCAGGACCCCGGAGATCATGAGATCATGACTCGAGCCAAATGCAGACAGACGCTTGACCCACTAAGCCAACCAGGTGCCCTGGGAGTTACCACTTTTAACTCTAGAAATTTCCCAGTTCTGACTGGTGTTTTTAAGCAAAAATATAAAAATTCAGGTCCTCTTTTCCCCAAATCTTAGAAACAACTGTTGGATTGCCACCATAACAAATTGCAGAAAGTTGGAAGCTTAAAACAGATCTATTACCTTACCTTCTGGAAGTAAAAATTCCGGAATGCGTCTCACTGGGCCCAAATCAAAGCTGCAGTAGGGAAGGTCTAGAAGAATCTGTTTTCTTATGTTTTCAGGCTTCCAGAGACCCCTCTATTTCCTGGCTGGCTGGTAACTTGCGTCCATCATTAAAGCCAGCAAGAGCTGTCTAGTCTTTTCTCCCAGGAAATGATTCTGACCCTGATTCTCCTTCCTTTCTCTCTCTTATAAAGAAGTTTAGGATTACACTGCGTTCACCTGGATTATCCAGTTTAATTGCCTTGTCTTAAAGTCAGTTGATTAGCAACCTTATTCCAGCTGCAATCTTAATTCTACCCCCTCCCACCCCCTTGCCATAGAACCTATTCACAAATTCCAGGGATTAGGGTGTAAACATCTTTAGGGGCCAAGATTCTGCTTTATCACAGTTATACAGCAGATGACTTAACAAAAATTCTGTTTATGAAGAAGCGTTGGTGATGAGAGCAGTCATGGGAAATACCTCTCAAAGATTATAAGACTTGTTGAAACAAAGGCTTTGATATTTGGCAGACCAGAAAAGCAAGAAGAAACTAAAGATAAAGGAATCCGTTCAGAGAGAGAGAAAGCCCATGTGACTGCCTTGTCCTAATGTGGGGTTTTTAACATGTTACATAATCAGAGTCATGGTTTTCAGATTTAAGCATTAACAAAGGACTCGGAGACTTCTGTTTGCGTCTGCTTCTTTAGTCTCTCCTGTCTGGGTGCTCTCCACATGAATAAGTAATTAAACTCCCTTGTTTCCAGGTTTATTAAGTTTTTAAATTATTCTTCCACCAAAATATTTTTCCTAGCCTTTCAAGGAAGGAAGAGAAAATGAATCACCAAGGTCAATCTTTTCTGATCACTTCTGAAATCACAAAGTACCAGTGGCTGTTGTATTTTTTAGCCTGATTTTCTACCTGAAGAAATTGGATACTAGATTTTGTCAAAGGGGTTTTCTTCTTCTTCTTTTTTTAAAAAGATTTTATTTATTTGACAGACAGAGATCACAAGTAGTCAGAGAGGCAGCAGAGAGAGAGAGAGAGAGAGAGGAGGAAGCAGGCTCCCTGCGGAGCAGAGAGCCCCATTCGGGGCTCGATCCCAGGACCCTGGGATCATGACCTGAGCCGAAGGCAGAGGCTTAACCCACTGAGCCACCCAGGTGCCCCATAAAGGGGTTTTCTTTTTGAGTGCTGGCTGCAAACATTCATTTTTTTAGAGAGGGAGAGGGGGGATAGAGGAGCAGAGAGAGAGGGAGAGAGAGAACCTCAAGCAGGCTCCATGCCCAGTGCAGAGCCTGATTCAGGGCTTGATCTCATGACCCCGAGATCATGACCTGAGCTGAAATCAAGAGTCAGACTGAGACACCCAGGCACCCCATGCAAATAATTTGTGACATGACTCTTCTTATGGAGTTATTGGCTCTGTTTGAAATTAAAAAGAGCAGTAGGTGTAGAAACATATGGGTTATCACACTATCGAAGTCCTAGTTTCTCTTTTTGGTGTGACAGGAACATAAGACATGAAAGTTTGTTGAGAGCGCAGAAGCAAAGATAAGTATGCCCCTTTGGTGCCCACAGAATAGTGGGACAAAGAAGGGAGAAACAGTATGGGTTTATGAAGAACGAAAGGAAGGAAGGGCCAAAATAGAATTCTGAATGGAAACTTGGCTTCCAGTTTTTTTTTTTTTAAGATTTTATTTATTTATTTGACAGAGCGAAATCACAAGTAGGCAGAGAGGCAGGCAGAAGGAGAGAGGAGGAAGCAGGCTCCCCGCCAAGCAGAGAGCCCGATGTGGGACTCGATCCCAGGACCCTGAGATCATGACCCGAGCCGAAGGCAGAGGCTTTAACCCACTGAGCCACCCAGGTGCCCCCAGTTTTATGATAATTAGGGATTATCTAGAAATGGTTCACAATACTGGAGTAAGTGCATTCTGCTTATTCATTGGAGGTCAATTGTAAGCCCAGAAAGAAGAAGCTAGAACAGAAATCAAAAGGAATTTTGACTGTAGAAGAAAGGCCACGAAGCCAAAGATAGAACAGCATTTTGTATCTTCCCTAAATTCAGTTTCTTCTCAATGAAAATTTTAAACACCTCAGATAGAATTTAATTCAACAAACAAGGGTGGCTGTCCACTATTCTAGGGTGACAATGACATGAATGACAATCTGTGACAAATGAATAATAGCATGAGATGCTATTTGAAATTTTTTATTCTGGAAACTTTTAAACATCCACAAAAATAGAATGATACCTCCATGTATAGAATAGAAATCGACCATGTATTGAATAGAAATCAATCAAAAATAGAATCAACCTCCATGTACCCATCACTTGCTTCAATGATCATCAATATCTGACCAAGCTTGTTTCATTCATCCTCCTCCCCACACCGTTATTTGCTGGATTATTTTTGAACCAATCTTAACTATCACCAATGCATGGCATTTAACCTAAATTACATAGACAGAGCTAAAGGGGTCCAGAGACGAGAAGAGATGAGGAGAAGCCTCTTGAGAAAGTATGAGCTGACTTAGTCTTAACTGCTGAGTTAAGCTGGATGAGCCCAGCATGGGGACGGCACATTCCAAGGAGGAAGGAATAATATGAATAGAGAAAATATTAAAATTTAAAAAAAAAAAGGAAAGAAAGACGTTCTGGTGCCTGCTACAGTGTGGAGCTTCCTCGCAAGCATTCTGCAAAGTCAAAGAAAGCAGACACAGAGGGTCACGTGTTGCGTAATACATCATTTATACTAAATGTCCCAAAGAGGCACCTCCAGAGAGAGAGCAGACTGCTGGTTGCCAGGGTCTGCTGGCAGGAGAGAATGGGGGGAAAACTGCTCAGTGGGTACGGGGTTTGACTGGGGCATGATGAAAATGGCGGGGAACCAGGCAGAGGCTGTGGTGGCACAACATCGTGAATGTATTAAGTGCCTCTCAGTTGTTTACTTTAAAATGGTTGGTGAGGGTGCCTAGGTGGCTCAGTGGGTTAAAGCCTCTGCTCAGGTCATGATCTCAGGGTCCTGGGATTGAGCCCCGCATCGGGCTCTCTGCTCAGCAGGGAGCCTGCTTCCCTTCCTCTCTCTGCCTGCCTCTCTGCCTACTTGTGATCTGTCAAATAAATAAATAAAATATTTAAAAAAAATAAAATGGTTGGTGGTATGTTATGTCAATTTCACCTTGATTTAAAAATTTTTAGTGATTAACTCCTCAGTGACCTCTACCAGGTGTACCAGGGATAGTTACAAAGAAGAATAGGGAACCTGGCTTTCTGGGGCTTACAGTCCCGTCAGAGGCAGCAGTCCAGGGAGGAAGCTTGGGTATGTGCCAAGAGGAGGAATTCTTTAGGGTGCATATGGCAAGGTCTTTTCTGTTCCACCTGGATAGCGCAATTCCATACAAATATTATGTGAACCACATATGTAATTTAAAATTTCCTACTAGACACGTTAAAAAAGTAAGGAGAAACTGTTGAAATTATTTTAATACTATGCA